ACATGACCTCACACAACCAATCTCTCTGTGATGCATGAACTTCACCAGCATGGAAAGGAGTGATTTGGGAATGTGTCTGTCTTGCTCGGCCTAAATATTCAGCTTTGTAGAGAAAATCAGCATTGTCAATAATGACACTGACTCAGCGATAATCATCAAATTAAAGAAATGATATAAGATTCTGCTGCTTTGCTCAACTCCAGTAGAATCTTAAACCTGGCCAGAATTGTTCCAGTTCAAGTGGGATTTTCTTTAGTGCAAAGCTAAGGACTTACAGTATCCTCTCCTGGACCCTCGGTGGAGAGAAAAGACAAGGAAAAGTAAATGGCTGCAATGGTCATGAATTTGGTTTACTTCTAGATACCCAAACTACCTTTGATGGCAACCAGTAAAAAATTCCTTTAAAGCAGCTGACCAGAAATCAGATGAGCACAGGCCCTGCACATTCTAGCTACTTGAGAGAGAATGTGTGAAGAATAAGACCCTGCCCTTTTACCCAGGGACTGGCCCCTCACTCTATGGCTTTGGGATTAGGGCTCTTTAAAAAAAGGATTACACTCTGTCCCTTCATGCTGAACCAGCACCAAGTACAGTGTGGTCAATCCAGAGAATAGTTATCACTTTTATGAGGGGACAAGGAAAACTGTTGGGATTGACATACATTTGAGGGGGTTTCAAAAAATATTGGCCATTCTGACAAAAACCACTTGTGTGCACTGATCATTTACTGGACCACATCACTTGTCTACAGAATCATAAACAATGGGTACTTTAAAGAATGCCACCATCAGTGTTTCCCGCTGCTGTGTAGTTTCCCATTCACTACAAACAAAAGGATTTTATTTTGAAATTGCTGTTACTTTCTGAAACACCTTCATAAATGATTAAATGATTCTCATTATTCTAATTAGAGATTTTGCAGCAGTTGTCAACCATCCTACTTCCTCTTTTCCATTTCTTAAGGGTTTGGGGGTTGTTAGGGGTTTGGGGGGGAAAGGGGATTGGGGGTTTTGTTGATGTTGTTGTTGCTGTTGTCATTGTTCTTAGATTGCAATAACCATACTTAAGACCAAGTCTTCTTTCCTCTTTCCTCAGAGCTTTGGAAAGACCACTCCTACTTTCCCTCTCAATCTTCATCACTATTCATATCCTTGCCCTTTCTGTGGAAACTAGCAAAGGGTACTGATTAGTGTTAATAACATGGCATTATTTAAGACATATACCATTATTAACTATTCTATTTCTCTTAATCTACCATATTGATACAGATAGTAATGACCAGGTGAGAGACAAACCAGTAATCTAGACAGAAGTAAATCCCATTGTTTAATATACTGGAGCTCATATGCCGATTCTTTTCACTCTTTTAGAAAAGTAGAAATTTTGTGAGATGAAAACAAAAGGTTTGATGTAGGTGTTAGGAAAGACAAATGCAATCAGAGCTAAGGAAGGGGTAAAATATGTGTGATACCAAAGTATACTTATTTGTCACTTATTTTTAAGGATTTGGGGGAAAACACAGAATGGTGGCTAGGCTACCACACAACCGATAAGTTTTCCACAGAAGTTCTAGTAATTGGCCATGCCACCAGATTATCAATGAGTAAAAAGTGGATGTTCAAAAGAGCCTTATTTTCTTCCGCCAAATCATATTCCATTCATTAGTCTAATAAAGCACTCTTAAAAGTTGTGAAATGATTTGAAGAATGTTTTTATATTGTACATAAAAGCTATTACTCTTGGTTGAAATTAAAACAAAATATCTTGAAATTAAAATAATTTCATAGCAAAGAGATTTTTTTTCATTAATAGAATGCCCTAAGCAATTTTTGTATGAAAAAAATAATGAAGAGAAAGCAAAATAATAAGCTCTTGATTTGAAATGACTTCAAAAGAGGATGTGAAGGAATGAAAACAATTGTTAGAATCTCATCGTTATTTACCATTTCCCAAGGTCTCCATGGCAGACAATGTAGTTCCTTCTAGGAGGTAGCAATAATTTGATTTAAAAAATCAGTTTTACAGGAGTTAACGTTTTCACTGGAATATTGTTGCTGAAATATAAAACAAGCAATCCTTTCCTTAACTCATGTCACAGGGTGTCCTGAACCAGGTTTAGCATACAAAACTTCAAAAAGGTTTATAAATCATATAAACACCAAGCTACTTGTCATGCTTATATATATGCTTATTTCAGGAAGAATAAAAGATTCACTATAAACCAGCAAAAAAAGTTAAAAAAATACAGTTGTAATACCTTTAGGGATACTTGTAATTTTTATCTCCACATACACACAAAGTAAACTGCTAATAGGATATTTTTCAGGTTGCAAAGTCAAGCATTCCAAAGTTAGAACATGCTGTCAATGAAACCTTATTTCAGCCCTTTGTGTGAAGGCATAATTGACACAGTCCTATTAACGTAAGATCACATACTATTATTTTCATAAAACCGTGGCTTCATTCAATGCACAGGACGTACCTGTTAGGGAGATGAAGCTGGGTTGTGTAGTAGGGCTGTGCGACGCTTTGGTCCCTGATCCAATTTGGCGGAAATTTGGCCCAATTTGGTGGCTGAATCTCCAAATCTGAATCGAATCATAGGACCCTTTAATCTCTCCAAATCAAACTGGAACCTTCCGAATCGATTCGGAGAGATTCGGAAAGATTTGCACACAGACACAG